ATGTGTTTCCATCATCGTCAGATTGATTGAAAACATCCTCAGGAGGTATGTCTTCATGACACGTCCATCCAATGCTCACAGATCAGTACCGCAGAAGCAGTTGAGTTTTCTTAGCATTTTTAACACAGGCATGGCTGGTTAACACATGCCCTGTGTATTTACTTTTTCCTTTAAAATTGTTTTACAGGATACCTTGCAGATCCAGACTGTACACAATAAGTATCTGAGTGACTCCCGTCCACTGAAGGTTGGCTACATTAAGATTTGGGGGCTGAAGCCTGAGTCTGTGATTGAAGTCAAGGTCACCCATGACAACAAGCCGTTCATGGTAATGAACTTCACGAGTGACCCTGACAATCAGGTGCGTCCCTGAGGAGGAAGGATTCTGACTTCGGCAAAACTAGAGCTACTTTTACAATCGTTAGCATCTCTCCTTATACTGGAGATGTTCTTGACAGACACCACAGGTATGTCCTGCAAAGTCTGGAGTGCCGAGTCACCATGGTAAAGGGCACAACCCTCTTGGTCTTCCACTAAGTGTCCTGGAGACCAGTCATCAATGTTCGGATGAGGTTCACTCACGTGTTCCCCAAAGGAAGTGTTGTGGTCTTGTAGGCAGCCAGAGATGGTCACGTCTACTGCAGATGCTAAGAGAAGGCACAAGTAGTCCGCTTCTCCCTACAGGTAGCCTTCTCCTTAGTCAAACTGGTGGCTGAGACTGGAGAACTGTTGTCTGGAGGAACCTGTCGTAATCACCAAATGAGCATGTCCCACCCACGGTGTGAGCTCACCAGAGCTGAGTGGCAAAGCAATCCCTCCCAGGGGGTCTGCGGTCAGGGACCTCACCCCAGTTCGGACTCATAGCCACTGGAACAAGACAAATAGCATCAACACACCAGCATTTGGTAACCCGATCAGGGACCAGCAGATTGACCATCGAGAGAAATGAGCCCCACAGTAGGGCACAGCACCCATTAGATTAGAGAGTTGGTTCCAGTGACCCAAATGGTGGTTCAGAAAACTGAAAGTGGGCAGCCACCTGCATTTCTGCAAAGGAGCCCAGCACGTCCTGCTACTCTTCGGAATTTTGAAACACAAATAGGTCCTCTCTCTGGACTCTCTTTTGCTTCTTAACTTTCAAACAGTTGCCCTGGACGACTGGGCTCAAAAGCACCAGTTTCCAGCAATTGCTTCTACTTCAGACTGAATGAGGAGACTTGCAAACCCTTCCTTTGGGGACACGTAAGATGCGTGGCATGGGGCCCCGTGGGCTCATGCCACCAGCCTCCCTCAGGGAGGCTGAAATCCAGTGGTAGAGGAGAGAGAGTTTTGTCAATAGCGGTTAACAGAAATCTGTTAGACTTGCAAGCATTGTTGTTCTGATGGAGTGGAGTGGAAAGAGTGGAAAGTTCGACAGCGTAGGGGCAAGTCGAACAGTTGATCAGAATTGAGGCGCCTTAAGAGGAATGTTGACGACCATTGGTGGCTATCCTGGAGAAGGTTGGACCCACCATTTCACACTGAGTTGCAACGTGAGATGAGTTAAAGATGTGTGTAAGTGCTAAAATGCTGTGTGTGTTTCTCTTCTTTTGTGGCAGATCTTAACTATTCAGTTGACTGACAAGGTTATTCACCTGGAAAAGTTGACTGTGGTCACCTGGACTCACGGTCACCTTGTAGTTACTACGCCGGCCCTGACAAGCACCTTACCGACCAGTTCTCAATCATCTCCATCTACCACTACAATGACCTCTTCTGAGACTATGATGTCAGGTTCTGCTAGTCCACCTGATGTGACTACGACTACTATGACTACGTCTTTCATTGCAACCATTCCTACCCTGACGAGTGCTACCACCATGAGCACTAGCAATACTGTGCCTGATGTCACTCTTCCTTTTCCTACAAGCACAACGGTTAATATTCCCACTACTCCTTCCCCAACATATCCTCCTCAAGTTAGCACTAGTGTGACCACTACCACTACACCTTTCCCTGCAAATACTACCGCTGCC